CCCAAATCCCAACAACGTAGAAAGAAAAGGAAACAAGAACAATAATTTTGCTTCATATTAAGTGGGGTTCCACGGAAAGGAATGCAAAAATAGATGTCGCTAACAGGTGGAAAGGGACAGACCAAAAGAAAAAGGGTTCTACCAAACTGTTTATGTACGAAGAAACAAGAGTAACTCCCACCTTTAAAAGAGCCTGTGACCCTTCTTCTCTGACGACAGTCTGGACACAATCAAAGATACCTTTATATTGGTTGGTCGATCCCTGCATCGATACTTGAGGTAATAATTATGCTGGCCAGCTTCTATAGGAAGGCTAAATGCATCTATTGAGTGCGTATAGATTCCTTCACGAAAAGAGACCTGCACAAAAATGAGCACGAGATGGAGGAGATGAGTCGAATTTGCCATACCTGAATCATTAATCTAGTCTTAATCACATCAAGGGGAGTGGTGATAGCTCCAGTTACAGCACCTACCAAAGGAACAATGAAAAGTAAACAGCATAAGAGTACAGTAAATAGCCGAATGCATTCAGTGGTTTCCTCAGCTTATAGCTCAAAGTCATGTTAAATTTTATATCTGACTTGAAATCCAACTGGACGTTCTTGAAATTGAAGCAAAAAGTGGAATCACAATCGAGAATTATATGAACGTAAAATCAATGGCTAGAGTAAGATAGAAATAACAATCACAGCTGGAGCAAATCAGAAACAAAAGATCACGAGAGGGCTTGAAAGTTCTCTTCTTATAGGTAGTGATGCATTATATAAAGGCTGTTGACATTTGTTTAAGTAATTTATGTTTAATGAGCTCAAATTTTACTTAAACTTGGTTATATATTTGAAAAAGGTCAAATATTTTTTGATTGTTACAGAGGCAAAGCTTTTATTTGCAGTTTGTTACCTTTCCAATTTTAGTTGCTCTTTATAACAAGAAGCTATGTTGTCTCAATTTTTTTTTTGATAACCGTGGATGTCAGCCACCCCATTTTCCTTCTTGGTTCATCTTTACAAAATAGAACCAACTAAAAAGCTACAATTCCTTGATAATGAAAAGGAAAGAAAAAGTTTCCCCAGAAACGGATAATTAAGCAGGAATAGAGAAACATCTAATTTCCAGAAATATATCTTGTTATAAGCCATTTGAAAAACAAAAACCCTAAAGTTCTGAAAAGGCTAAATATATGTTTTCCCGTCCAAAAAATTCACATCATTACAAGCTCCATGCGAGATCAATCATACAGGAATACAATTTAACATTTTTCCTTCTTTACTGATTCATTTGGAGTGCTCAACATTGTGGTAGGACAAGTTATGCTTTCCAGTGTAGCTTCACCACATCTTCCTTTCTATTTCCCTTCATATTTAGTCTAATGTTACATCGAAGTTTGGCACCAAATAATGGTATTTAACATTCTAGTTGGTTGAAATAAATAAAGAACAGCATGCAATATGATATCCTTCTAAATGATTGTAAAATGCAAGAAGACAGATAGTCATTCAATGCTAAAATTGCAGTTTTAATTTTTGATTGATAGCAAGAAGCATGTCAAACAATCCCATATAACTAAATGATTCTAAAAAGGTTTTGGAAGCCAATATACCAGCAAAAGCCCCAATAACAGCATTCTCAGGATCATTCAGATCTCTCCTTGCCTGATTGGTGATAGAATAAAATAAGAGCTTTACAATAGCAGCATTATAGCCAGTCATCAATTACTTCAATAGTAAATTAATTGACACGATACATTGGGTGTCAATGAGTGAACTAGCACATTTGCCTAAGTCATTCTTGGAACTCAACTAAAGCAGAAATGCATAGAATAAATCTTCTTGTACAATACTTGGGTTACAACACTAGTTGACAATCTCTCACAAGGAGGTGGGGCCTGCGATTATTTTAATTGGGGGCCTACCTCCCTTGTGAGAGATTGTCAACAAGTGTTGTAACTCAAGTGTTGTACAAATAGCATTGCTCAAATGCATAATATATAGGACAAAGGTGCTGCCTAACTTTTTGAAATTAGAGGGAACTCAAGCTGTTCTGCATATTTTATTGCCTACTGAAGTCATTGAACATAAAGAAGCAAGAAAAAGTAAGTTAGCATGTGGCCTAAAAACAAATCTATCAACTTATTTTGTTCAATAATTTCGCAATTAGGAGGGTATCTGATAACTGTACAAGAAATACATGCCTACATGGGCACCATTAGGTAGTGGACAAAGTAAATGGTAAATGTTCCTTTATTTTTATGAAGAAAGATCGTATACAAGCATATCCCTGACTGACAGCAATAAAAACAAAATAGGAAAAAAATGGAGTACTTACTGCT